TGATTTATGACTTGTGATAAAATACCGTCACTTTAAATTTGTACTAAAATATATTCCAATTTATGTTTAGGCAGTTTCAGGTCAATTCAGTTTGCACTTCGTTGAAATGAGGAAGTGGCGTATCCTTGCAAGTCCCAAATTCCCATCGGATTTCTTATGGATGTCAGGATGGCAATAACGATTTAGAAATTATTATATATTGCAATGTGCAGTCGCGAACGGTCACTAAGCCACCCACAAAACACCTGTCCAGCTCAATTAAATAAACTTTATTTTATAGCATGTTAAAATGTTCATAGGTTTGAATGAGTATAGGCTAAGTCGCTTTTTAACCGTGAGGATGGACAAAGTGATCACTTTAACTGCTTGGATAGATAAAGTGAAACAGGTGATTGTGCATTCTAATGACATCTGTCATTCTTATTTCACGCGGAGCACGATATAATGACGTATAATAACCATACTGTTTTTTCTATGGAAATGACCGTGACCACAGAACCTAAGCTTGCTACTTTTGCCGTCTAAATTAAATTCAGAATTATCAAAAACATTACAATGAGTTATATGACTTCTGCTATAAAATAAAGTTTTGCATTATACACGACGATAAAAAGAAACTAACCATCTCGTGAAAGTTAATTCGCTCAATGCTTAAAAATTATTAATTTATACGATATATCACATCTAGCGGATGAAGTTTTAGCTAAAAAGGTATTAGTAAAAGTAAAGCTACATAACATGATACAGATTTTCGGGGTGGATGCAGGCAGTCCTGCAACAATAATTTCTCGATCTGGTTTTGATAAGTTAAACGATACACGTACCTTACAACACTGTTCCATGCCGTCATGTTAAATTTCGAGCATACAATAAAGATATAAGGTTATGTTACATCATTACATTAATGAATGACCAACTTTATTTCTAAAGTGGGCTGCCTGCGAGACGCGGATTGCATAAATACACAGCAAAAGTTCGCTAAAAGTCAATTCCAATATATACATACGGTGGGGCAACTCAATTGCAAAGCAAAATTGAACGATGCAGATACAAAGAAATGTAACTTGCGAAAGTGCAAAAAGGCAAAAAATATAAATACGGTTATAACACCAAAGGCAAAAGATACAGAAGGCAAAAGTGTTCACGTTTAGGTTAACCACAAAAATGTAAAAGATGTAACAGATACGGTAGGGTTGCAAAAGTAAATTTAACGGCAAAGCTCAAAGATTTCCGTACTTACAAAACGTAGCTTGCGAAGATGCAAAAGTAAAAGCAAAAATTAACTGGATAACTAACGTACTTACGGCAAGCCAAGTGGAAAAAGATGCAAATGAATAGTGCGTTTTCTATTTATCTACACGTCCAGTTGAGTAGGGATCAACTGAAGTTTCCGTCTCGTACGCTTATACCTTCGATACGTTCAAACAAATTAAACCGTTTTTAATTAGTTACTCCTTTCCCCGACATCGGAAAAATATGGGACCTATGTCGAACTTCATGTCGTTTAAGAGCGCTTCTTTTCAGATAAGGACCAGCTGAATCGGACGGGTTTTCTGTAACTCATTTAAATGTCAATCTTTAATTATACTTTTTCAATTAGTCGAAAATGCCTTTTTGTTAATTGGAATGTGAAGTCAAGCGGCACATTCGGTTATCACGTTGATATTTTCCGTGAACTGCACGACCTTACCGGTTTCAATCCTGGATTTCCGTATACCATTAGAAAACTAAAATCGATTAATCGGTAGTTAGCGGACCTAAAACTTAATAAGATTCTCTTCTTCCCTGGCAAGACCACTTTCGGCGGCTGTAAAAACAATTTAATATCTATACAGAAACGGTTGTAAAAAGGATCGCTTCACTACGAAATTTACTTGCGTTATCGTCGGTAAGATAAATAATTAAACAAAACGAAAACATATAAAGCTCACGCCTAGAACAAATGAGTAAATTCAGAAACTACTTAGTAACGAAGCGTCCAACTTAAAATGCTTGTAAATGCCGGGTGTTCAGCAAAGCCGGTCGATTCCACAAATATACGGTGCGGTCATAACTTCGGGTATTAAATTTCAAAGCAAAAAACGGGTGCTTCGTTACACTTTTTGCAACAAGAGAACTTTGGTAAAAAGGCCTCGCTGTGCAATAGACTACTTGGTCGACACACAACTCGTACTATTAATTTTTCCTATGCGGATGAAGTACTTAAAACTTCTTACGAACTCGATGAATCCATTTGATGACGTCCTACATTCAAAAAGACGAACGCCGTCTTAACATCCAACAGGCTGACTGCTCAAAGACCCAGAAGAACAACGTGCACTAATAGTGGAGGACCATCACCGAAAATGCCTCCGATATATGTCCAAACGCAACGGCAAAAAAAGCCCCATTTCAAACGTCCACCACCAAATAAGCCCCGTTTTTTTTCGATATGTTTTCGTATTTAAAGGACTTCCCCCTTCCACTTTAAACACCTCCTACTTTAAGATTTCGTAAACAAACAGTCAATCAGAACTACCACTACCGCCAACGTTTTATCGGCGATAACACGGGCTTATCTTGAAACTAATTAAATTTCATTTTATGTAAAAACGAACTCTGTGTTTAATTCAAAACCAGTAACCAAATTAAATGATATTCCACATACCAAAGATCTATTTTTATTACAGGTGCCGAGCCCAACCAAAACGTCTACATGACCTTGTTTACACAACACTTTATGCTTTAATGAACCTTAAGCCTCAATTCTTTGGTTAAGTTATCTCACACTTCCATTGATGACAATTAAAGTGAACCGATTGGAATATAAATTTGAAATTCGGGGATTAACGTTATAATGAATTTGATACGGGGTAATCCGTTACCCCGTAATCCAACGATACATTACATTCAAAAAATCGTATGTAATAGGAATGAACGCAAAGTAAAATCAAACTACGTACAGAATTTATAGTTTGTTAGCGATTTAAATTTTTAAATCTGTCCTTTTCAACGTCCCGCCAGGGAATTACCTTAAGCCTTCCTCCCGAAGGAAATCAGACGAACATACGATGTTCTGTAAAATATTCCACATACCTTTCCAGGTGGTTTGAGATGCCTATTTATTAGCGCAACTTGTATACCTTAGCACAATTTACATTTTTAGGCGACGACATGCCTAATAATTATTTTATTTCAGGTGGGCGGAGACTTGCAACTTTGAAGAAAGCGGCTGTTGCTCGAATTGGTAAGATTTACTAATAAACTTTGTACATTTTTTGTACTGGGATTATGAATCAAATCAGTTTCGGAAACTTTTCGCAGTCATACTCAATTAGAAACTCAGGGAAGTCTTTATAGAAATTTTGTTTGTTTTAAAACGCATTTAAGTTTTACTTTATCAATGGATTTGCGACCTGTATTCAATTCGTTCATTTGATGGCATTTTTTTAGTGAACAAATGGAAGATGATGGGGGTTTGATGGTTTTGGTAAGCATTTACAATATTACAGTTTAATGTTTGATAAGTCACTACTGTTTAAAAGCATTATTAAGCCACATTTATCAATTAGGGGTTGCGTTGACATTTTACTTTGTCATTATTAAGGACCACCATCAAATAATGTTCTTACACTACAATGAAAAAATTCTCGATAAAAACTTAATTTTATTTATTTGGGAATCTCAGTATCCTTGATTACTTTCAACAACTCCAAAGAATTATTTAAAGAAATTTTTAATAACACCTACCATAAGTCATAACTCTGGCCACGAATATATATTATATAAATTTAACATGATAACTCTAATCCTGGGTCGTAAAATTTTGAATTCGATTAAACCGTTGAGTGAAATTTCACTCAACGATTAAACTCAAAAATTATCGTTCATTGATAAATAAAATAACATTTATTCGCGCTACCCAGAAATTTCCAAAGCTGTAAGAAATAATGGCTCTTACTTGGTCCCACAGTGGGTGAGTTAGCAATAGCAATCGCTACTTAGTCGCGCTGCTGCCTTTAACCCGCGACACCGTTGCATGTTCAAATCCAGTCGCGAGACGAAGCCACTGAACGTACGACTATAGAGTTAAGGCGACTCCGTCGAGAGTCAGTAGCGCTGCACCACGTTCCGTCCCCGCTGCTCGGCATTACAATTAATGTTGATAACAGGAATTAGCTTAAATTTGATGATTAAATTTGGGGCACTTTTACTTTTCACGACAAGAGGACCTTGCAGGAAGACCCTTCTGTGCAATAAACTGCTTGGTCGAAACACACACGAACTATTATTTTATACTGCTGAAATTAATTCACTGTCTTTCCCAAATTTATTTATTTTATTAATTCGCTTGATCACGACGTGCATTAAAGTCAACTTTCTTCAATAAACCAACTTCGCTAGCAAATAAATAGACGAACACCTCCTACACAACAAAACAAGGCTGACTGCCAAAAAAGCGTGTACATTTTCGGACCCCCACCCAAAAATAAGCCTTTTTTTTGTTATCTTCTAGTATTTCAAGGTTCCTCTCTCTTCAATTTTAAAAATCTCCTTCTTTAAGACTTCGTAAACAAACATCGTGTTGCGCGATTGAATTATTAATTAATAAAACCGCCGAGTGTTTTCTCATAACGATATATTTAATTTGAATGTTACATTACGAGTGTAAAATAACAACTAACTTATGCCTAATTACACTGTCCTCCTGACTTTCCCCTACTACTCTACTACCCTGCTTCAAGGGCAGAGAAACCTGTTGGGACGCAACATTCAGCCCCCTGTTGAAACATTCATGATTTCAACAATTCTACTGATATCTACTGATAAAGTATTACATCTATAAACCTGGAACAAAATACGGTTCCTAACGATAAGTATAATAACAAGAATACATAATATAAAAATATACATCATAGAAGCAATAATGAATAAATTGTTAATTATAACGTTCATAAGAAGAAATATGTACAGTTCTGAATACTTAAAGTAAATTTCTGATTAAAAAGTCTATATTTTATTTACATTGTGCGTTGATTTGGTGGAACAGTAGTTACAGTCTCTGATTGCTGTATAGGCAAAACACACACTTTGTTGATTGCCCGTTTTATCACACCACCTTTTGTTTTAATTGAAACTACGCGCACCTTTTTGTCATTGCCACTGTGAACTTCTACGACGCGTCCATACGACCATTGGAGAGGTGGGAGGTTCTCTTCTTTTACCAACACCATGTCTCCGACGACGAGATCCTTTTTGGGAGATTTCCACTTGGTTCGTTGTTGTAGGTTATTTAAGTATTCACGCTGCCACCGCCGCCAGTAATGCTGCCTAATCTGATCCACTAGTTGCCATCTGGAGAGTGTGTTCATTCTTAATTGCGTGACATCTGCTTCGATTGGGGCAACTAATAAATCTCCAATTAGGAAATGGCTAGGGGATAGGGCGTTTAAGTCGTTGGGATCGTTACTCAGTGGAGTTATAGGACGGGAATTTACACACGCTTCGATTCCCGCCAGAACCGTATACATCTCCTCAAAAGTGAGGTTGGCGCTTCCTACAACCTTTTTCAAATTTTGTTTTACGAGTTTTATGCTTGCCTCCCAAAGACCTCCTTGATGAGGCGCTCTAGGGGGTATAAAATGCCATTTAATGTTATGTGTAACAGTATTTAATTGATTTTTTAAAGCCTGAGAGTGGAGAACTCTTTGGAACTCACGATCCGCTCCAACGAAATTCGTGCCATTGTCTGAATAAAAGTCGGTTACGTGACCTCTCCGAGCAACAAACCGCTTCACTGATCCTAAGAATGAGTCGGTAGTTAAGTCTCCGACTAATTCTAGGTGGACCGCCTTGGTCGCTAAACAAATGAATAATGATATGTACCCTTTAACCAATCTTTTTCCACGACCTCTGCCTTCCTTTAACGATAAAGGACCCGCGTAATCTACTCCGCAATGGATAAACGGTCTTGCCATAGTAACGCGATCAAGCGGAAGGTTACCCATAATTTGAGTGGAAGCGATGGGATTTACTTTGTAACACCTTACACACTCTTTTAAAACTTTTTTAACTTGGTCTTTGCCTGAAATTGGCCAATATTTTTGCCTAAGGGAATGTAACGTGGTTAATTGACCTGCGTGAAGTAAGCGTATATGTTCTTCGCGAATTAGTGAGCTAATTAAGTGATGCTTCGGTAATATAATTTGATGTTTGGCATCAAAGGATAAATTTGCGTTATCTAGCCTTCCCCCTACCCGCAACAATCCGTTTTCGTCGAGAAAGGGACTCAAAGCCAAAATGGCGCTATTACTCATGATACTCTCTTTACGTTTCAATTTTTGAATTTCATTCGGAAATGTAATAGTTTGTAAAGTACGAATTATTATTAATTCTGCCTGGCGTATTTCTGAAAGCGTTAAATTTCCTAATTGTTTTTGTTCTTTATTCTTGACATTATATACAAATCTTTTGCAATACGCAATTACATTACAGAGACGTTTAAAGGATGATATATTATCGAAAATATCTAACTTTGGTATCGTGTTGGCAATAAGGCATGTTATTTGGATCGCTTTTAAATCCGGTATATCTTTTAATGGTGTAACGTCGGGTTGACTCGGACCTTGAGAATCGGGAAGTAGTAAAAATGTTGGTCCATGCCACCACATATGGAGTTCAGCTAACTCGCTCGGGAGGGCACCGCGGGAAATTATGTCGGCGGGGTTTTCTTTTGTGGGAACGTGTTTCCACACGGCATTAGATGTACTGTCTTGGATTTTGGTTACTCGATTTGCCACGAATGTCTTTAACTTAGAGGGTTCTGTTTTTAACCACGCTAAAACTATGGTCGAGTCCGTGTACAGCGATATTTGGCTAAATACAATATTTATTGCCTGAGTTACTTTATTTAACAGACGAGCTAAGAGTAGTGCCGCACATAATTCTAATCTGGGGATAGTGATTGTTTTTACCGGGGCTATTCGAGATTTAGAGCACATTAAATGGCTAGTAACTAACTGGTTATTGGAAATCGACTTAATATAGATACACGCTCCATATGCCTTTTGAGAAGCATCGCAAAAACCATACAACTCAAATTTGGAGGTAATTGGTGATTCTGTGACTCGCCTTGGAATTTGATAGGTAGCTATTATTGGCAAATCTTTGCAAAACTGTTGCCACGCGGTAAAAATAAACGCGGGTACTGACTCATCCCACCCTACTTGGAGTTGCCATAAATGTTGCAATAGAATCTTAACAGTAACAATTACTGGACCTACTAACCCTAACGGATCATAAATTTTGGATATTATCGATAATATTACTCGCTTAGTTACTCGATTATTTGAAGTATGGTAGTTATTAGAAAACTTTAAGATATCTGCTTCACAATTCCATAACAGACCTAACGTTTTGGTTTCACTTTGCTTGTCCAATTGTATGTCATTAGTTATGTTAGCTTGGGTATCAGGTATTAATCGTGGATCATTTGAGGCCCATTTCGTTAACTTGAAACACCCTCCCCTTAGAATTTGATCAATTTCGTTACGTAATTTTATAGCTTGATCCAGATCATCTGCGCCTGTTAATAAGTCGTCTACATAAAAGTCTTCTAGAATTGCTCTACGAGCACAAGGCGTCGAAGTTGCCTCCAACCCTAGTTGTTTTATACAACGCATGGCAAGGTAAGGTGCAGGGCCTGTTCCGTATGTAACGGTATTTAATTCGTAAGTTTGCAACGGCTGGGTACGTGATGATCGCCAGAAAATTCGTTGATATTTGCGATCGTTTTTGTGGACTTCAATTTGCCGAAACATTTTTTCAACGTCTGATGAGATTACAAATTGGTACGTTCGGAAACGTAACAATATCAACAACAGTTCTTGCTGAAGAGGAGGACCCACATGTAATATGGAGTTCAGGCTTAGTCCGTTATTAGTTTTTGCGCTACCATCAAAAACTACTCGCAATTTAGTTGTCACTTTATTTTCATTTACGACTGCGTGGTGTGGTAGGTAGAATGCATTATTCTTATCAGTTACATTACTGGGTACCAAACTCATGTGGCCTAATTTACAATATTCATTTATAAAATCTACATATCTAATTTCTATATCATGGTGTTTACTGAATCGTTTTTCCAAAGAATAAAACCTTTTTTCAGCATTAAAAACTGACGAACCTAACATTACGGGATCTTTCTTAAACGGTAACCTGACGACAAACCTACCGTCTGACTTACGTGAATATGTTTGTAAAAAATGATTTTCGCATTCTATTTCGCTGAGTGAGTAACAAGGCTGACTGTCTTTAATTTCCTCGATCTCCCAAAAACGTTTAACATTGTCATTGATCACATCCATATTTAATTGGCTTACACTACGATTTGAACGATCATTATTTGAAATGTTTGGTAATATTGCGTTTCCACCAAATATCCAACCCAGGTGCGTTTTCTGTAGAATCGGTTGATTTTTGATTTTAATTTGTCCCACACATAAAAGAGTCCAAAAGACCTCGGCTCCTAGAAGTATATCAACGGGTAACGATTTGTGAAAATTTTCGTCCGCTAGTTTAATACCAGATGGGATTTGAAAAATATTTCGGTCGATATCAATATTCGGTAAACGATCCGTAATTTTTGCTAAAGATAAGCAGTCAATCTTAGTCGTGAAAGCATTAAATTTTGATTTTATAGTAACATTTACTATTCTATTTGCAGAAGAAACGTTTTGATTAATTCCAATAATTGTCCAATCGATATAATTAGAGGGAAGTTGTAATTTATTAGCGAGTTCAATTGTTATAAAATTTGATTGACTGCCTGCGTCTAATAAAGCCCTGCATACGTGGATTTGCCCCCTAGCATCTAAAATTTCTAAAGTTGCGGTAGATAAAAACGTATATACATGTGATTTTAATGCTCTGCTTACATGATTACAAGAAGTTTGATTTAATTCTTGGGTTGGGGCACTAGTAGAGGGTTGCGAAATCGGTTTATTAACATGGAAACGCGTATTATGTTTTCGTTGGCAATGTTTGCACCCATTGGATCTACAGTTAATGGTGTTGTGGCCTTCGCGCAAGCAATTTGTGCAAAGTCTTAGACGTCTGGCTTCTTGTAGCGCATTTTCGGGGGTTAATTCATTAAATTTGTCACATGAAAATATGTGATGAGATTGGCTACAAAAGGAGCATTTAATCGGAGTCGAGGGTTGTACTGTTAGCGCTGCATTATTTACAGCGCGTTGGGGTTGCGTAAATTTTGATTTAAAAGGCATGAATTGATTGAAGGTCGTTTTAGTTCCTTTGTCAAATTGTAATGATTCTAGCAAGTTGCATTTGTGCTTTAGAAAATCAAGTAGATCATCCAATACCGGAATATCATCGATACATTCATTCTCCCAATCACGTGTAGTGACATAATCCAGCTTACCAAGTACCAAGTGAATAATCAAGACATCCCATCTATCAGTTGGCAACCCTAAGTTACTTAACACTTTTAAATTTAATGATATTTTATCAATTAATTGGCGCATTGCGACGCTGTTGTCTTTTGTCACTGTAGGCAAAGCAAATAAGGCATTAACGTGAGTTTTAATAATCAATTTTTTGTTATGGTAGCGTTTTGTAAGTAAATCCCAAGCAATTTTATAATTTTCGACCGTGATTTATAACGATTCTACTACTTGAGCAGCCTCGTTTTTTAGACATGATTTCAGGTAATGAAGTTTTTGAATGTCAGAAATGTTTTTGTCATCGTGTATCAAGCATTTGAATGTTTCGTGAAATGATAACCATTGGTCATAATTACCGTTAAAGGATGGCAAATTTATGGCAGGTAATTTAAAGGCACCTTTTGTCTTAAATTCAATAGAATTATTTTGGGTTTGCGGATCGGCTTTAGGTATCGTAACCGGTTCTAATTGTTGTTTCGCTAATGAAACAAGTCTAAAATATTCGTTTTCAAATTTTTCGCTTTCTTGTGAATTCCTAAGTGAATCATTCTCCCTTTCAGGGTCATCATCATTTACAGTCAATGCACACATAACTTCAATATCTTCTTGAACAATTGAAAACTCATTAAGCACACCCAGAAATTTATCGTATCTAATCTTTAATTCTATTGATTTAGTTGAATTGTATGAGTCGAGGAATTTTGAGAATCTGGTTAAATGGCCTTTTATAACCCCACGTTTTGCAATTAATGTTTTTAAGTCTGACATTTTGAAAAGATGCAATTTGGATTTGAACGAGACGTGAGTTACGTGTGATGTAATAATAATATGATACAGGATAATTGATAAAAGGATTGGAGACTTACTTGTGGTACTTGCAAACGGTGTGTAGCGATGTTTCTTCTTTTTCGATGACGGGCCGTGATGTAGCAGCGTAAATCGTGAAGCAGGAAGCAGTAATTGCGATTACGATTATTCTCGGTGACGGGATTTGATGTAGAACCGTGGATCGTGAAACCGGAAGCAGTACTTGCCAGAAATTCGTGATTATTCTTTGCTGATGAGCTTTGATGTAGAATCGTGGATCGTGAACGGGAAGCAGTAATTGCCAGCGACGATTTTTCTTAATGCGATGCGAATCTTCTCAATTGAAGAGGTTCACTAATAATTGGTACTAACGAGATGCGCAATAACGTTTCGATAAACCGATTCTTCTTAATTGAAGACGTTTCTTAATTGAAACTAAAGAAAAGCACGATCACGATTATTTTTTATAATATCCGACTCGAAGGACCATGTTGCGCGATTGAATTATTAATTAATAAAACCGCCGAGTGTTTTCTCATAACGATATATTTAATTTGAATGTTACATTACGAGTGTAAAATAACAACTAACTTATGCCTAATTACACTGTCCTCCTGACTTTCCCCTACTACTCTACTACCCTGCTTCAAGGGCAGAGAAACCTGTTGGGACGCAACACATCGAATCAAAAACCAATTTGAATAATAACGTCAGTTTCGCAATAAACTGCACACCTGTTGTTGTATCGGCGATAACACGTGTTTATCTTGAAACTAATTAAAACAAATGTTCTTATCGCAATGGCCAGATAAATATTTTAATACAGTGCGCAAAAACGACCAAATTTTACGATTAAATAAGGAAATCAAAATAAACAAATTATTTAGGCGATCAATATAAACAGAACTTAAACATTTAACAAACAAGACAACGTGGAACTTCAAATTTAAACAAAAAGAACGAACGCATACCTAGCAACCAAATTTACACAAAGAAATTGATATTCCACATATACAAGCCATCATTATTATAGGTGCCAAGTCCAAACAAAACGTCTGCACGACGGTGTTTACAGGATAGTGTACAGGGTGTTTATTAGACATGCGGCAAAAATCATCGTAGGACAAAATATCCTTAGAATAGTCCAAGGAATAGCCCTTTACATTTTCGCCGCATGTTTAATAAACACCCTGTATACTGGAACAAAAATTTACGGGAAACATTTTTTTGATATGAGTGTCTTCACTCCAAGCATTGAATAACGAAATTAGATTTTCATTCAACGCTCCAAGTGGATCCTCAGACGTACATTTTACGATATAATGGAATTTTACGTGTAGGTTGTGTATCAAATGGAAAATCTGAAGGGACCAGTGATTTTTTTGATGTGGAAGGTTTTACCCTAAATAAACTTAAAGACAGCACGATTTTGATCCAAGGCGGCTTAACGCGAGAAAATGCGAACTAATGAAAATGAAAAATTGCAGCAAATACGCTGTACGTATCTTATAAATGTTCCGATGTACCTACTCGAAGATTTTTTCACGCAGGTTTGAAAAACTCGAGCGGTTATATTAGATGCAGTTCACATTATGTGATTTTGCTTACATTTTCTCTTGCGAGTTGTCCTGTTTTGGGGTCCGCTCATACTTATTCGTAATAGCTGCCCGAGCCGGCTTCGCACGGGTGTTTATAATTTTTGTATTCGTAGTTACATGTTGGGATTTGGGATGGATGTGTATGATGTTGGTTACAGAAAAAATAAATTTGGATTGAAACCCCTTTCCCGAATTATATTTGCACCAAAAAATGATGTCATATGGAATACACATCAATTTATAACTGTTGAATATTCTGCAAGAAATGCTTCGATAGAAGGTTTCGTCCTTAAAGAAGTAATGAATTCAGTGGTTCAGGTGGCGTTGTAAGTTGCCGTAATTTGACCTTTCTACTGGCACAATATAATCCTGCTGGTTCTAGTCGAAACGACGAAACCTCAAAGCGGAAGGAATTCTGTGGAGTATTGGACTCGATCATCAACTTTTTGAAGACACTCGGGTTTACATTAGAACCTAGAACTGCCGTTTTCTTATTCCCAAAAAAATTACAACTTGTACGTCACACAATAAAAATTCAAAATAAAATTTTTGGTTTAGAGAAATTATCACAAACTGTACTTAAAAGCATACGTATCGAACATTTTCCAGGAATTTATCCGCAAGTTGTGCGCGGGTGCTGTCTTGTAGAGTTCAAAAAGTGGCAATGAGAAAGTGTCTTATGTCTTTCTTGTTGTATCTGTTCAAATAAGACTAGCAAAAAATAAACATAAAATCGGCAAGTTTCGGTTTTTTTGTCATATCTTCGGAAGTGATCGGAATTTTTTTTGTTTTCTCTAAAGCACGATAATAATGGTTTAATTGCGCATCTTTTCTCTAATTTGACCATCGTCGTATCTTCTATGGTTTCGATCTCCATGATAGACATCCTTATCTTGGACACTCTTTCCCAGGGAGAGAAAGCCCGTACCCATGAGTACTTCGTCGTACCTACTGTAGTTTATAGTAAATCTTAAATTACTTCTTAAAAATTTGGTAAATTTAATCCCTTTATGGCTTAATTGTATGTTGGGTCGTCCTCAGAGGCACAGGTTGGAATGAATTTTGTAGTCACGGCAAACCTTGCCCTTTTTATAAATAGAATTTGCGGACATGTTTTTAAATCAGCTGCAGATGTAGGGTAGGTAGGTACGAATTTATATTTTATATCTTGACGATTATTTTCGTAAATTAATTAGGCTATTCTTTGCTCTCATTTTTAAGAAAAGAGTTTCCTATTTGCTTGCCTTAGCTTACAGCGTCACATGTTTCGATAACGCAAGCTCAACAAAAAAAGAACTATCTAATTTGATGCGCGTAAATAAATTTCGGCTATTCATTTTTAATATAAAGATAGAAGATTACGATTTATACGACGAAAGAAAAAAAATAGTTCGTGTAAATGCAGAATCAAAATGCGACGGCGGTGGGCAGTATCTGAACGTATAAACGGTTGACGCCATCTATTAGTTATATTGCGATTTAAACGACGAAAGAGAAAAATGTTGTTTTTACGTCTTTCCGTACAAATTTTTGAAAATTATCTTTCATACAAACCTTGTCCTGATAATGAGAAACACAACAACAAAATTATCTAATTTGGTGCAGTCGTTCTGAAGTGATGTGCGTATAAGTACATAAATTTCGGCGATTCATTTTTATATATATTTATATAGACTTTCGCAGTCATTCGTCCTGCAATCGGATGAACAGTTTAGGGACGTACAGTCTAACCCCCAAAGTTTAGTCGCAATTGGGTAAATGGTTTAGGCAGCTGGGAGAGGCATCATAAGAGACAGGACGAATACAATTTTATTTAGTTACATAAAAACCCTGAAATATGTCCAATCATTACCCAAAGTTTCGTTGCAATCGGATGAACGGTTTAGGTAAGCATAAGGGACATTCATACGTACAGACAGACGGAATTTTTTTTATTATATAGAAACCTTTCCGGACATACGTCCACCTATTTCCCAAAGTTTCATCGCAATCGGATGAACGGTTTAGGCAGGCATAAGAGACATACAAACATACAAACATTCATTTTTATTTATATAGATTGTTGATAGTAAATCGTATAACGTAATAAACAGAAAACCACCAAAACAACCCCTAACGAAAGTCGAATGAATAATCGTACGAAAAATCATATGGGAAATCGTAAGCAAAATCACATAACGTAAACTGCACTTTACAACTAAAACATATAAGCTTGTACCAAAACGGTAGCGTTCGGCATTTTTAAGGTGTCCGTTTGTGCACTATAAAATGCATTACTCTTTCAATATTAGATTGACTATTCTGAATTCAAATTCTGTGGTCGCATCGTTGTGTATATAAAGAATTGCACATTTGGAAAGATATAATTCAAAATGTTTACTTCACGAGCTCTCTCTACAACCCTACATGCTGGACCGATATTAAATTATGGAGTTTATTAAAGAATATCCCACAAAGAAAGAAACAAGGATGACAAAGACGCTAAGAAATGTGTAAAAAAGAGCATTCATTCGGCGTTTCCTTTTTGTAGCGATTATAAAAAGTTACAGATACAAAAAGTGTACACTTTTTAGTAACATTTGAGACTGACAGACAAGTTAGCCGAGCGATAGAGTCCCACGGCGACACCACACAAAACTTTCGCATTAAACAACGAAATGTTAATGGGACAAGTTG